CTGGAGGTATTTAAAAGACATGTAGATGTGGCACTCAGGGACATGGTTTAGTGGTGGACTTGGTTAGTGGCTAGGTTAACGGTTGGACTTGATGATCTTAAAGGTCTTTTCCAACCTAAATGATTCTATGATTCTGTGATTTAAAACAGATTTTATTGTGAAACACGACCTCAAGCTTCGTTCAAATCCGCAAATGACAGCCATGTTTTCAAGTCCTTATTCTGAAGATTGAGGTGCTCCAGGTGGCAGGGTGGCAGCACTTGGTCAAATGGACAGGCTGAACATTGTTGTTGCCTCAGGTGCCTCAGTTACAAGGTGCTGCTTAAAACTGAGTCCCCATGGTGGATCACAAAGGATGTTTTCTAGGAGCCCAGGGCAAGACTGGCGTCAATAGTGGAGTGGTGCTAGCACCCATTGACTTGTCTTGCAGTTGTGTGTTGAGGAGTCTACATGACTGCAGCCACCTGGGAGGTGTATTGGAGAGATCAGGGGAGTTTGTTCCAAAATTGGCTCTTCTCATGACTGTTGCCAGTAGAAGGTTGCTTTTAAGAAAGACTTATTTTGGGAAAGTAGGAGTCCTTCTGGTGACTGTGATGATAATGTCTTTCTTAGGTGTTTTCTCACCATGAGCATCTATTTCTTCCTCTCTCTTTGTGTGTGTGCCATGAAGGTTACATTCATTACTAAACCCTGGCCTTAGAGTCCAGTGTTTATTTTGGAGCCTGTATGCATCTGGAGCACACTATCTGGTGCTCAGTGCATGCAAACAGAGTTCCTCTCCAGCCTGGTTTCCAAGGCTCAGCCTGTGCAGGCACCCACATCTGTCAGATGGGTCCATGATTTTCATCATCCCTCATGCCATGCATAGGATCCCAAGAGGAGGATGAGAATGGACAATGGACTCTGTTAGCCCCATCCAATGCACATGATCCATACTGTACCCTGCCTCATCACAGAGTGTGCCCTAGACCCCCTTCTGGACAGTACAATGTATATGCATATGCACATTATGGCAGGGATTATCTGCTTCCTCTGATGAAGCTGTATCCAAGAGTAATCTTTTTTGAGCAGCATCTGTGATTTTTCAATGCTTGATTTGCCCCTTCGTTATAAAGTTACCCTTAATAACATTTTCAGGTGGTTTTGCTTCCAGATACCTAGAGAAAGAAGAAAGAGGCTCTCTTCCTGCCAAATGATAATACAAAAAAAAAAATGCTCATGTATGTATAAAGCAAGGAAACTCAAGTAAAATCTCATAGGTCAGTACTTCTCCCTTGTTCACCTTGATGTATCAAGACAGTCCATGTAAAATATTTTTACCTGAGGCTGGTCCTCATAACCGAGGGAGGTGAAAAGTGCTGGGCTGGCATACTGGGATTTTACATCTCATCTTTCATGCCATTTCTAACTGATGCGTTTGGTTTCTTTCTTTTCAAATACAGTTATTTTAAAGAGTAGTTTATGGTATAAAAAGAAAATAAATACTTCATTTTTCCCCTAAATTATTTTAATGATGAATTAGATGGCTCCAGAATGCAGTTTGAAGGGCTCTGTGGGGCTCCTTTGAAGAGAAGTGTCAGCTTGATATAAATCAGGAATATAATTTTATAAATATTTGAATAGCTGTAAACTACCAATATTGAGTAAAATGTGATCAGTGTCTGGAGAGACCCTTGATGTATCTATCAACTTCAATATATTTTAGTAGCAAATCTACAGCGGCAAACTAATCTTAAAAATTATACTGATTTAGGGGAGTGTACCACCTTCAAACATCGGTGGCTCCAAGGTGCACTTGCAAGTTGGATACTTCAGCCTTTTCCAAATTAAACAAAAACCAGCCTTGAAACTAAAAACCCCATTCCACTTACACTAACTTCTACTGTTTTATGGGGGGTTTCCCCATTTGGTTTTGTATTAATTTAATTATTGTAACTTTAGAGGAAAAACAATTAAAGACCAAAATGTGACTGTAAGTTAATGAAAATTAGCCATTAGATTAGGTACTAGCTTTGCTGCTGTCATCTTTAAATGATCTCTTTCTGGCCAATTTAATAAATTTAAAAAATGCATAAAATATTATATAGTCTCTTCATAAAATATGTTAGCACTTACAGAAGCATCTCTTAAAAACCAGCCCTTCTCTAGTAAGCCGTGAGTGTTAAGAGAGTTGAGAAGGACTCTTAGCAGCTTACCTGAGTCCATCTGTGGCAGTCTTATGAAGAAAAGCAAAATACTTCAAATGAAGTTCACATGTCTCTCGAAATGGGTTTGTAAGAGGGGAGGCATCAAGGGAAATGTTGACAGATATTTAATTATAATGGCAGTAGTGGCTGTTGCTGTGTTAATAGCATCTGGCAGTGGAGTCACTGCCATCTGTTAATGCCCTGAAATTCTGATACGGTGCATCCTTTATGGAGGAATTAACAATAATTAACAAATCTATCAAATGAAATCACCTTAATTGGATGGCAGCTTTACCTTGATAATGATTAATTGCAAAATAATGGGCAGTAAAATGTCCGCTACTCACCTTTTTACTATAGACCACCTAATGCTGCTATTGAGTACAGCATCCTGGAGGGTTTACTTTTAAGCTTGTGGTGTGAGACATCATTTAGTGCATCGCCTTTAAATAACCCTTATAAGCAGAGCTAGATTAAAAACAAAACTTTTGCTTCTTAATTTCTATTTGCAACAGGTTAGGACTCTAAAATGAGTTGTGGTTCTGCTGATGCACCGTAACTTATTTGATGTTAAATGAGGGAGAAAATGAGGTTAGACTGACAGAAGTGACCCTTCAACCAAAGTCAAGTCTGCCTGGAAGAGCAATCTGACTACGTTAAAGCATTTCAGGTTTCTTTGTAATCTCAATATTAGAATCCAAACTATTAATTTCTGATTAATCAGTTTTTCTTCAAAGTGACGGGAAAAAATATTCTATTTGTTTGTATTTGGAAGAATTATATTTTACTATCTATTTTTATCAAAGCCAGTATTTTGGTCCATGTAATGAAATACCATGCTGTAAATAATAGCTATAAACAAAGCAACAAGCCATTTCGAGGCCTGGTTGGGCTTTATTTTTCTCTTAACTCCTTTTTTTCTGTTCATTCAAAAAAAAATCCTGCTGAGCAACAGATGGAGAAGGTAGCATACTCTGATTAAATGGAAGAATTGTAAGTTGTGGGTAATTGAGGTGTGTTAATTATTAGAAGCAATAGGAGGCAAAGAGTGAATTTTGGGATCTTGAGTTCAAGTAAATTGGAATTTTATTTCTGTCTTCCTGCGTGAGTCAGTTAATATTTTGAATATTGCTTTGGGACCCCCAGAGAGAAGGCAATCTATATTTTCCTTATGTCTTTCTATTTGTTCCCAAGTGACAGAATTTTTTTTAAGCTGGGATTTGTGTTGATTCCAGCTACTGATAGAGCTGCACTGACGCCAATCCACAAGCAAAGGTGTGGAAAGCCGGGTTTGCACCACCGTGATTTATCACAGTTCCCAACACAGGAACTATAAATCAGAGCTTCCCTTCCCTTTTAACTGAGGCAATGGATATGCAGCAGGTTTTTTGGTGGGGAAAAGTCTGTGCCTCCAGGGTGTTGGTGTGTAGAGACAGAAGATAGCCCAAAATTCACCTTGTGTTGCAGTAGGTGGGCAGGAGGTGTTATGGCTGCAGAAGGTGCCTACTGCTGGACCATCCAGGTGTGCCACCCCAGACGTGCAGTGTGGATCATTCCCAGTTTCTGCCTCTGTGTTGTGGCAAGTGAACTGGTGGAGCAGACTTGAGGATAAAGGCTCACCTGGTGCACAAGTTTGGAATTTAGCTGATTTCTGGTTTCGGTGTCTTCTCCGTGAGACCTATCCCTCCATTTTGCTTGACAGTTGTATGAGCTTGCTTGGCAGTTGTATGAGTCATACATCAAGTCATATGAGTTGTGTGACTATGTACATGCATGTCCACTACGCACGCAATGTGCATGTACGTAGTCATCCCCAGTTAACACTGTTAAAACTAGAAGATGCTTTGAAAGCAAGTGGTTTCGTCTTCTGTTCTGCTGCTTTGACTTGACATCATGGGATCATGATACAGAGATGTTTGTTAAGGCTTGGAAGGAAGGCTTGTTTCTCTCTCACTGTTATTTTCATGTAAGACACCGTTTTCTGTTCGGGAGGACTAGAAGCAATGCATTAAACAGTGTTAAATATGCTGAGGCAGTTGATGTTTACAGCCCTTGTAGAATTACTCATTAAAATATTAACTGCTAGACAGCCTCTTTTTTTTAAATTCAGTGATTTAGTAGCCCTCTTAAAAATCATGTTGTGTGATTCAGACATTCAAAGACTAAATAAGACAAAACAAAACCACCAAAATTACCCACAAAAGCACTAATTCTTGGGTTTACATTTCTTAAATTGTCATGGGCATGACGTGCCTAAGAAATTCAGATGGATTTGTGGAGCGGGTGAGCTGTAAGATTTGACTCAGCTCTCTCCCATCTGCACCAGCAGCTTTCCCTAACACGCAGCGCTGGGAAGATCTGGAAGGGACCGTATCCTTCTCCGGGCTTCTGCAGACAATAGATTCGTGTGTGTGCAGTAAGCTTTGGTTTACAGCAGGTTTTGGCATGAGGACAAGATGTTACCTTGAAGTGCTGGCTCTCAACAAAACTCTTTTCCCTCCCCAAGCCTTTTTTAAGATGTTTTTAATGGCTCTGGTCCTCTGAGGAGGACATGGTTATGTTCTTGTCTATAAACATATTCTGGTTTGCTTCCTTGGGCCCCTTGTGTCTGATTTAAAAATTGCCCGCTCGGGGTCATTGCATCAATTGTGTTGCCTTTAATTTTGTTTTTGATAAGCTTTTCTCATTTGGTTGTACAGGTAGAAGAGCCTGAACCCAGCGCAGTGTGACACCTTGATGACAAACGCCTCTTGCTATTTATGTGCTTCATAGATACTGATGGTATATCTGTTGTGTGTTTTTTGTGTGTTTCAGGAAAAAAGTGCCAGTTCAAATGCAAGACTTAAATCTAATAAAGAGATCCCAGGATTAGTACATCAACCCAGAGCAAAGTAAGTTCAATTTATTTTTTTTTTAATTGTAATACAAATAAACATAGGATTAAGCAGTATCTGTGAGATTCCCAGTTACTGCCTAGCAAAAACCAATTGGCGGCAACCTTAAAACCATGCTCAATTTAAATAAAATAGGTAAGGTCACCTGTGTCCCGATACCAACAACACAGCCGGGCAGCGCTTGTGCCAGTGTCTCTGCAGCATCCTCTCCTTTGCACGGCTAAGATGCAGGACTTAAAAACGTGTGAGATGCGTCTTGTCGTGCGTTATAGGAGTACCATACTGTGTTATTTCTCAGCTTTCCGTACAACTTGCACATAAACAAAATTATATATGTCCTAGTGTTCCTAAATACTATTGGTTAAGTTCCCAGGGAAGTATTTGCTAGCTCTTGGCTTAGGTTAGCAGCTATACCGCCTGGGATTAGAAATGGTAAACTTCTTCCATATAAAATGGTCAAGTTGTTTCTTAAAATGAGGGTTGTTTTGTAGCTGAGAGTTCCTCCATCCTTCACTCACAGTTCTGTGCTGTACCTTGTCTGAGATCAGTCAGCGTTACACATGCCATGAAATATTTAACTCCTGTGACAGAGCTAGTTATTGATATTAGTAACTCGTTTCTTGTCTAAATCACCGTTACATTTTAATCACTAATTGGATTGAAAATAACAGATTACATGGAACCGTATGTCGGGTTTGTAATGAAGAAGTGATAAAGCTTTACTGTTGGATTTTGAACAATAGCAGAAATGCTGTTCTTTATGTCATGCCTTCGGGGCACTTATTAACTTAAACTTCCTGCATACTAAGTGCATTGTACATGGTTTCAAGTGTGGAAACTTCAGTAATTTCCTAATCAACTGACAGTATAATTCAGCCTCCTTTCAAAAGGAGAAGTTGAGTGCTTCAGATGTAATTGCAAAAAAGTTCACGGTAGGGAGGTGGAGGTAAAATCACCCTTCAGCAAAGCGGTACTTCATTATTGTGGCTTGGTCCTTCCCAGCAGGGTCAGAGATGTCTTTAAGATGCTCTAACAGGAAGCTAATCAGCCTAGGCTAAAAAAAGGGATGTTTCTTTGGTGGGTGATCTCTTCTGGTGCATCCAAGGACTACGTGGGGTCGAGGGTCCATTCTTCCGTCAAATTCTGATTTTAAAAGTCCACACAGAAATCAAAACGGACCATTATTCACCAAAAAGCCTGAAGATGGCATGTTGGCAGAGGTAAACATTCCTGTCATAGTCCTGCAAAAATAAGGAAACATCTCAGAGAGTTACAGAATGTAACATTAGGTTGTTGAGTAAAACTTCCCCTGTTTGCGCACGTCTCTGTTGTTTACCCAACATACTATTGGATTTCCCTTTATAGAGTGGCTACATGTGTTTGAGTTACTAGTCACCAAGTCAGCAAATACCTGTTATCATGCGCATTTTTTTTTAAGCTTTACCATCTGAAAACCATGACAATTCTGACTGCCATGGGGAGTGGCATTGGGTGGAAAAGGGCTATTTAGCTAAAAGGGCAGAAATGAATAGTTGAATCATTAGATACATCCTGTAGGACCGTTATTGTAGAACAGCTGTTATTTCAAAACAAAACACGGACTACATACCAAATTACAATTTTATTTACTATTGAGGGAGTTTTTAAATGTTGACTGTAAATGTAAGGTTGTGAGGGCTCTTCCCATTTGTAGGAGGATATATATTTTTACATCTAGAGCCCTGGACTCTGAAACTGGTTTACACAGGGAGCCAGCAGTAGATTTATGGGGATCTCTGGCAGAGGTCGAGGGGTTGGTCCTTCGTACTTTCCATACGTTCATGGGGCTTCATCCCTGCAGCCTGCTCCAAGCTCTTGGGCACTTCCTCTGTTTGTTCATCCTCAAAACTGACTCCACTGACATCTTCAACCAGAAAACTGATCATGTATGCCTCTATACAAATGCACACAGCATGGGAAACAAATAGGAGGAGTTGGAAGCTATCGTGCTGCTAGAAAGCTACGACCTGATTGCTATTATGGAAACTTGGTGGGACGAATCCCACGGCTGGAATGTAGCTATTGATGGCTACAGGCTGTTCAGAAGGGACAGGCGAGGAAGGAGGGGCGGAGGCGTTGCCCTTTACATCAAGAAATCATTACAG